GTATTTACTTTTAATGAGTGATTATTTTACTGGTGTATTTACTTTTAATGAGTGATTATTTTACTGGTGTATTTACTTTTAATCAGTTATTATTTTAATGGTGTATTTACTTTTAATCAGTGATTATCTTACTGGTGTATTTATTTTTAATCAGTGATTATTTTATTGGTGTATTTACTTTTAATCAGTGATTATTTTACTGGTGTATTTACTTTTAATCAGTGATTATTTTACTGGTGTATTTACTTTTAATCAGTGATTATTTTACTGGTGTATTTACTTTTAATCAGTGATTATTTTACTGGTGTATTTACTTTTAATCAGTGATTATTTTACTGGTGTATTTACTTTTAATCAGTGATTATTTTACTGGTCTGTTAATGTTTATATTTATTATTATTAAAAGCTTACATCATATTATAGTGTGTCATTTTCAACTCTACAGAATAACTAGAAATTTGATAAAATATCGGTATTTCATGATACAACTTGAGTATAAAATGTATTGTAACTATTATTATTATTTGATTATGCCGTTATATTGAGTAGCTGCAGTTATTTTTTCATCCATAAATACTTGATTTAAATTTTAAAACAAAAAAGTAATTTGAAGTTCAGTTTTGTAAAACGTTCTTTTAACGTCTCGTAGGTTGGAGTTCTAGAGGATGACTTCACGTGTTTAGGCGTCTGTCTTGGCATCCTTTTTTTCCCTCTTGGTATTCTATGCTGCCTGGCTTTGAGAGAGAGAAGGTGTCCAAATTGTGGAGCTATATTTGGTTGAGTTAGTTGGATAATAATATCGATATAATCACCGATCATTCACAAGGATTTGATTCAAAAAGTGAAACACCAAAGCAGCTTGTTTCATCTCCATAAACCTGTATTTATGTGGTGAATAATTTGAAGTTATATTCCAAAACGATAGTAAAATATTAATAACTTATTAAAAATATATTAACAGTGGTAAAGTATGAAGATTCAAGTGGTAATTTTTAGTAAGAATTCAGGGTTAACATTAAGTATATTTTTTGAAAACTCTTTTAAGCTTGGAAGGTGAAGTATACAACAATTAATTAGTTAATTTACAATGAAGGTGTGCATGTGTATTAAGTTTGTCTTATTTTGGAAACAACCTGTGTGGCCCACAAGGTGTTACTTAGATAAATACATACCTGCTGTTTATATATCAATTCATATTACCTTTTGATCAAGTATTATTTTTATGTGCTTAGAAGGGAAGAAAATTACTAAAAAAATCTTGTAATAGTTTTATATCTCCATTTTTTTTATATTACGTATTATATTATTGAAACAGTATTGCTATTGTTTTAATAAGCTTTTTTTAAACTTACTAATTTTATTGTTAGGATTATTTTCAGCAGCGTGTGTATGTGTAACCAGGTCCACGTTAAATAAGAACCATATTTCCGAGTCTTCTGTTAGAGTTGTAACCTTTTGGAGATAGTGTTAAAATTTGATTAGACATATTTTCAGTGCATATGATTTTATTCTAATCAAACAAAAACTCAGCTTTGTATTCTTTACTTAACTTGTAACATTTCAGTGTAATATAGATGAAAATCTCACCAGTTCTTCTGTTGAGTTTATTTGTAAGCTGAAACTCCACGTTGAATCCTGCTAAGTGAGATGTTTGATGTAGCTTTTGAAGTAAGGATAAATGTAAAGAGAACTTGTGATAACTCCAGACAATGTGTATGTTAATCTTGATTGGTAAGTTCCTGTTACTTGGCAGCTTTCTTCTTTCCCACAATTACAAAGTTTAGCAGCTAACTGTTACATTTTCTACGATAGTTGCATTAAGGTTACTACCGCGACAGATGAAACAAAATATGAAGCACACGAAGGCTAGGCTGTTATTGAGGGATGGCTAACTGTTGCGATAGTCGATCTTGTGAGACTATCGTAAGAGCTGATATGAGAAGCACTGAACTATTCTGAACGATAATCATCACAACCAGGACCACTTCTGACTTACTTTATGGTTTGATACATGCAGTCAGACAGCTGTTTGAGGGGGGGCCTCACCCGAACATTCAATAGGCCTACATAACCACTTCACAAACATCTTTAAAAGTAGTAGAACATGTGGATTTTCCCCTTTGGTACTAAGTATGCTTGAAATTCAGTTTTACTTTTGTGACTTACAAGAAAGTATTACTTCTACAAAGAACAAGATAAATATATCTACCCACTGTTTATAAGAGTAACACAATTTTGATACCCATTCACGTGAGTAAGCTTAATGATTTTTAGTAAACTTCAATAATAATAAAAAAGGCATTCATTGTAAGATGTACCAAACTGATGAAGTTAGTCTGCATAACTTTCAAACTTAAAATGCTCTACTCAAGTCAGCACTTAATAGTTGTGGAGGTTTTTACAAGTAGTATTTTCTTTTTTTAAATAATACTTAAAGAATTACCAGGTGTATATACTTTTCCAACGTACATGCAGGAAGTTACTATACACCATTTTTATTCTTACAGAAACGTAATAGACGAGATTTGAATGTTTCATTGTTGTAGACGTATACTGTGTCAATAAAAGTCTTGACAGTGTGCTATTTTATTCAGTGTTTTTGAAAACTGACTGCCTGTCTAATACATAAAACTGGTCATATACATTTTGTATGAATTCACTCAAACTCTGTGTTATCAATAGTAGAGTTAGTTTAGCTGCTAAAGATTATTCATGAGCTAAAGCTGACTTAAAAAGAACATTACAATAGATTGATCTTGATTTATTAATTTACAAGCTGTGGAAAATTCTGAATGAACCAACTTTTCTTTCCAGAACATTTGGTTTTTAAATTATTAACCCTTTCAGGTGTAGAGTGTATACCTGCACAGAAAATTTAATAATTTAACTATTTCAACGATTTTTTTACTAAAAATATTTTAAGTTTAAATTTTATCACTTTGTAACATTTATATAATGGAATTTGCAAAGAAAAATATATTCAAATTTAACATTTCTACACAGGTTCAAGAAATTTTGCCTGAAAACAACACACAGATTTTGTTTTCGTACGAAAGCATAGGTTTATATTTGATAAGTAACTGTCCTTTGAACTATACTCTCAACATTTTGTACCTAATTTAACTTTCGTTAGTACAACCTCTGGGTTCTCACTAGGTGAAACAAACAAAACTCAGTGACAGAGGATATTTACAATGTGTTAAACTGGTGATTTATGGTGAGAACACCAGGATGTAGTTTCTTTACATTTTTGTATTAAAGTTACAGAAATTTTGTTCTATAACAAGACATCAGGTAAGCCTTGTTAGGTTTAGAGAGTAACAGAAGTTGGTAAGAAAACATTCGAGTGATTTAAATTTAAACAATGTTTGTTTATTGGATATAAATTGATTTCAAACAAAAAATATTGTCTGTTGTGTGATTGTTCTTAAATGTTATATCCTAGGTGAACAATAAATCTTTTTATATTCTATAGCGAGTATCAAAAGGAATGTTGAAATGGTACTTTCTACCCTACACGTTCAAGTTCTAAATAAAATGATAGAAAGAGTAGATACTATTTAATAAGTAGGCCCCAACTATCGTGCAAGTTGATGTATTTTTACTGTAAGATAGAGGGATATCATTACACCGATCTTGGTCATGTTATGTGTCACTTTGTTATACAATAAACAGAGTAAACTTAGATTCGATGAATAGTTATTTATACATACATGAGTATTAGTTTTACATGAATTATCATTTCTTGAAGCCTGACATTGTACTTGGTTCTGTTTTAACAGTTATTTACTTCACAAAGCACTGCATTACTTAACCTAAAATAACTTCCTGTAAAAGGGTTAAATTGCGTGAAAACTAAGTGATCATTCAATCTTAATGTCAAGCAGAAATGGTAAATATTTAGTGCATGACAAACTTTGTACAACATAAGGCATATATATATATATGCCTTGAATTATAAATAAATTTTATTTGTGTTTGTCATATGTTTAAATGAAACAAATTCTCAAATGCTGTACAGAAAATACACTAATTAAGTAAAACAAAAACTCAACACTGTGCAGTGACTGTACAAACCACGATGACCAGAAGAAAACAAAGTTTCCTGCACAGTCATAAAAAAACTAGACTCGGTCAGTTATCGAAACTCGTAGATCTGAATGCTGTGTTCTGAAACATGGGTGAGATTCAAAGACTGATACCTGATATAGAGAAAGAAAAACTTTGGATACAGCCTAATTTCTGCCAGTAATAATATATCACACACAGATTCATAAAATTATCAGGGAAAATAAACAAGTGAAGTTAATTTACAGTAATAATATATCACACACAGATTCATAAAATTATCAGGGAAAATAAACAAGTGAAGTTAATTTACAGTAATAATATATCACACACAGATTCATAAAAGTATCAGGGAAAATAAACAAGTGAAGTTAATTTACAGTAATAATATATCACACATAGATTCATAAAATTATCAGGGAAAATAAACAAGTGAAGTTAATTTACAGTAATAATATATCACACACAGATTCATAAAAGTATCAGGGAAAATAAACAAGTGAAGTTAATTTACAGTGATCCGTTACAAATCTCTGACTTGTTGCATCATAATTTAAACTTTATAAGTTTTGGTTTTAATAAAGGATATTCCATAATTCAGATACACAGATTTAAAAAATAATATTCATTTTTTACAAATTGGGAAGAAAAAAATTCTTACTTCATTTACCACAATGAACATTTTATTGTTATGTTTATCAACAAACAAACTGAAGAACATTGATGTTAAACAAATGTTCATCCCGATTTTTTTTGTAAAATCTACGTGTTGGGGTCTTTCTTTTATGTGTTGTGGAAAATCTGTACGTGATGGAAAAAAATGGATATCATTTTTGGATTCAGCGTACAGGAATTACTGTAGAACATGTAAAACTTTCGTAGGAATAATATGGTTAAGAAAGTTCCTCACAGAGAAGCTCTCGTAGAAAAACTGATTGTATCTTAAGGGATCATTTAGTAGAAAAAGCTTACCATTCTGAATTTTTGTGATAATAATATCCTTCTATAGATGATGTAGACTTCTGAAAACATATATAGTAAAATCCGGCAAATGACGCTCCATTTATATCTTTTATTGTGTGATCAGGCACGAGGAAGTGTTCCTGAAAAAAATACAAATTAAATCAAGAGAAATAGTCTTTCTTCCATATTGTATTCCAGAGCACACACACACACACACCAACATTAATAATATAATTTTAAATTTAAAACATTTGTTGGGATAACATTTTAAAAGAAGAAAACTGAGACTGACAGTGAGTTTCTATAACTTTTATTGGTACTGTTATTTTAATGTAGCCAATAAACATACTAGAATAAAACCAAAGAATACATGAAAAATTATTATAGTTTCATTCTAAAATAATAAGGAAGTAAAAAAAAAAAGCTGTATAACCACACTTACCTTCCACCTCATGAAAACAAAGTCTGTATTCTTCAGTTCATCATAATCAAAACTGTCACAGTTAAAAGTTTTAGAATATTGGAAAAATGACAGGAATTTACTCTGTAAAGACATAAAACACAACTTCTGTATAAAACCTTCATTTCTGACAGATAAGAGACAAGTTAATTTAATTATTTATTGATTTCTCACACTGTTTGGTGGTTTGAAATAGATGAAGAACATGTTAACAGTGAAAGATATAACAGAAAAATACACTTTATAATAGTATCATAAATTAATTTGACTGCACTGAGCACAAAAGTAGGAAAACCCATAGTATCTAACAACAGTTCATTACAGAATACAGACGTGGTATGATCTCGGAAAAGCACAAGAAAGTAAAGAGTCTGACTAAATACATGCCTAGTGAATATTTTCCACAAGAACCCTGGTGGCAGCAGTTAGGAAACGGACAGGTGTGAAAAACTATCCACGGATACAAAAAGTAGCAACAGCTGGGTAGTACACTTTCCAAATGGGCTAGTCACTAAATCAACAGTGTGGTGAGCTGTCCAGAACAGTGTGTGTATACAAACTGTTGAACAGGTCATGATGCATGGCAGCAGAAGCAGTTAAATAATACCTGCAACTCATAAGTTTTGTGAGATGTCCAGAACAGTGTGTGTGTATACAAACTGTTGAACAGGTCATGATGCATGGCAGCAGAAGCAGTTAAATAATACCTGCAACTCTGTGTGTGTATACAAACTGTTGAACAGGTCATGATGCATGGCAGCAGAAGCAGTTAAATAATACCTGCAACTCATAAGTTTTGTGAGCTGTCCAGAACAGTGTGTGTGTATACAAAC